TTATTTTATTTTATTTTATTTTATTTTTTATTTTTTTAATTTTTTTTTAATTTTTTTTTTATTTTTTTGGGATTGGAGGTATTCCAATTTCCCACGTTCACTCCGAGAGATATGGGACTAATGCAGTGAACTACATGCCTTGATTTTCTTCTTCTTTATCCTTTTTTTTGCTCTTTTGTTAGGGATATACATCAAATGCACCATATAAGAACACAAAAAGTTTATTAAAAAATTTATTATGCCATTCAGATTCAATTACTGAAACAGCAAAACATATATATATATTATCCCAATGCAGCTCAGCCCGGACTGGAGGTTATGTGGCCGCGGTCAGCCCATAACCGCCTCTGATTGGGCGGCCTGGGCGGGGGCACCACACCCTCAATCGCACGTGTCCTCTTTCTATTGCCTTTCGGCCTTCCCTTCACGCGGGCGGGCAATGCACCACTTCCCCGCACATGACGTGTGTGACATTTTATGTGTACGGGTTAGAGATATTAATTGAGTTATTTTCACAGTTCTGTCCATTTAAGTCTAAAAATTAATAGGACTATCATTTATTTTTCATCTTCTTTAATCAACATTAAGTCTAAAAAATAATATGTTATCATTTATTTTCCATCTCTTTTAAACAACGTTAAGTCTAAAAAATAATAGGTTATAATCTATTTTCCACATTTTTTTAATCAACGTTGTTTTTTAGCCAAAACATTAAATATGAGCATGTTAGGGCTAACTTGTAAAATAATTAATATATTATTTCACTAACACTTTTATACTAATATAAATTTAATTTTAGTATATATTTTTATTCCTTAATATAAGAGAAAATAATTGTTTTACTTATTCATGTTCACCATATAATACTTAATTATTATTTTGTTTTAAATTTTATTGTCATACAATGTAATTTTTATTTATTAACGTAATAGAAGTTGTACGTCTTCTTTTTATTTTTATTTTATACAATGAAAAATATTTAATATACGTTAGTATTATTTATTTATGTAATCAATTTAAAATATGTAAATAAATTTAAAATTAAATAGTGTATAAATATTTTTTAAAATATAAAAACATATTTTTTTTAGAATTTAATTCTGTATAATAATTAAACAATTTTGATTTAGCAAATGTCAAAAACTCAATCCCTTCTATAATCAAGATTTTTCTAATTTGTATTATAAAGATTTATACTTTATTTAGCATACTATGCAATGAAAATATATTTTACAAGAATTTCATTATAAAAAAAATTAAAATAAAAAAATGATAAAAAAAATAATCATGGTTACCAATAATATACAAATAAATCCTAAAATAGTTAATATATTTTAAATTTAATTTTTGTCTTTAGTAAAACTATTTAATGTATCTGGTTTATGTCTTAAACGGTAAATTATATTAATTTGAAGAATAATTTACTTTTAATATATAACGCAATAAAGCTAAAAAAAATTATATTGGCAGAGATTAATTCACCAACTTGATTTCGCCTGATTAATTGGAAAAAAAATTCTACCTAACCTGTTACGATTTTCTATAAATATTTTTGGATAAAAAGTGAATATTTGCGAAAAAAAATTAATATTATGGTTAAAACTTAAAATATGTTGTAATATTTATCTTGATCAAAATGTTATCAAGATGAATCACATAAAATCAATCTTGTAATTTTAAACTAGTAGTTTTAATAAATGATTATTCTTATTATATATATATATATATATATATATATATATTAGATTTGAAAACACATGAACTAATTAAGTTAATTCTGCACCCTTGTATTATTAATGATGGTTATAAATATGTAAATACTCACTACAAAAAAATTGTTCTATTCCAACGGAAATTCCTATGGTAATATATTCCAATGGAAATTCCAACGGATATTCCAATGGCATAGCTTCTTTTGGAATCATTCCAACGGAAATTCCAACGAAAATATTCCGTTGGATTGTGTTTTCCATTGGAATTTTAGATTGAATTTGATGATTCCAACGGATATATTTCCAACGGCTTTTTACCGTAGGAATTTCCGTTAAAATTTTTATTTTCACCCCCGTTGGAAAATCTACCGTTGGAATCGTCAAAATCCAATGGAAAACTCATTGCAACGGAATATTTTTGTTGGAATCCACTAAAAAAATTTCAACGGAAATAATATATTAAAATATCCATTAGAATTACCATTAGAATTCTATTAAAATAAATTTCCGTTGGAATTTTACCATTTTCTTGTAGTGACTCCCTTCAAATACATTGCAAATTTGATGTCCAAGCATGGATAAGTTAATCCGCATGTCTTGTTCATGTAATCTATCTGATTAATCACATCTACATGTGCTTCTTGTGTTTAGAACCAATGAACGTGCAAGAGGGCAGCATTAACGCAGGGTGATCTACACATATACCAACAATTTAGAAAGAAAAAAAAAACGAGATACATGAAAAAACAATAAGCAAAATTAATAAGAGGAAAAATTATGAAAATCAGTTATATAAACCTGTCTAAGACAATGTGTTAGACAATTTGGTCAACTTGTCACATAGCAATGTGACACATTTGGTTTAATGAATTTATGGACATATTACATATCAGTTTTGCTATGAAGTCAACAGTTGGTTCTATAGTGGAGTTAACTTTTTATATACAACAAGTAAACCATACCATATTAATAAAATTATTAGTATTATTTAAGTATTATTAAATCATACCTTTGCTATATATTTCTGGGTTGCTAATGTATATGGGCATAGTGGGGTTTGATTATGAAAATAATAACGTCGGTGTTGTCGGGTTAGGCGCAGTGTACCGGAGCCCTGAGGTTTTTTGAGAAAATAATAACAGAAATTCTACGGCGCCCATACGGGCACCATAAACCATGCCATAATATGATGTGTCATATGAGATGGCTTTATTAATTATAATTATCTATTCCTAAATGGCACACATTAAGCAAAATTTTCACATCAATAATAATTAAGGTGCCGTTCATAATTATTATTTTCAGAATCAAGCCCCATTATTATTTCCAGGCTTGATTCTGAAAATAATAATTATGAACGACACCTTTGATAGTAATTCCAGCCCTCCAAAATTCAAGTGCCCATATTGAAGGTGCCACAACCAAGATAAATCTTTATAACAGGATTTAAGACATTTCGCCACATCATTTTGAATGTTTAATAAAAACATTCTATTTTTTGACATTGGCACCTTGGCAATTAAATTATTTTTGGTATTGATTATTGTGTTTTTGTGTTTATTTCCATGTGTTTTATGTGCTTTAGTTTAGTATTTTTAGGTCCATTTTAGTGTCGACCGGTCTATTCTATCGTGTTTCGTGCATTTTTGCTTTCGTATTGTATTTTTGTGGTTCGGCGTACTTTTCTTGTCTTTTGGGTGTTGTTTAGGTCCACAATTTTTGAGTTCGGGAAGAAGAGTCATTTCGAAGACATTTCCGAGCCGTCCGAACCATGTCCGAGCCACGCGAACCATTTCCGAGCACATATATTAATTGCGCGGAAATATCGATTTGAACATTCCAAGACGAGGAGAAAAATATTTGAGGAACGTGGGTCAAAATTTCAAGTCAATTGGAAAAGCGTGCTAAAAGTTAGAGCTAATCGAGTCTAAAAAATGGAGCAAAGGCCAGATTCGCGCCCGCGAAACCAATTCCGCGAGCAGCCCCAAACTCGCGAGCTGCACCTGAGCCCGCAAATTTTCAATTTCGCGCCCGCGAAACGGAGTTTGCTCGCGAGTCCGTCCAACAGCTCCCTTTGCCCGTGAGTTCACCTGCTTCGCGCCCGCGAACAACTGCTCTGCCTGCGAGGTCCTCTAAGATGCACGTTGCCCCCGAGTTCACCTGCTTAGCGCCCGCGAAATCCTTGCTTGCCCGCGAGTTCCCTTCCCAGCTCGCCTCGCGCGCGAACTTCATGGCGAGGTCGCGAGTGCCGCTCCCAGCGAGCCCCGCGCGCGCGAATCTTTCCGCGAGGTCGAGAGTGCCACATTTCATCGTGCCGAGCCCGTGCCTCCCCGCGCCCGCATCAGTGCCACTCGTGCTCGCGACTCGCGAAACCGCCCGCGAGCTCGAGAGTATCTTAGTAAATGTGCGTGTTTTTAGTGTGTGTTTGAGGTGTAGCTATAAAAAGACATTGTGCTTTGTAATTTTTGAGACACAACCCTCATTTCCCAACTTTTAAGTTGGGAAATCCTCTCCATTTTCTCTCTTCTCTCTCTTTTCTTTTTTATGCTTTGGTTGGGAGGTCCATGACTCTATTTTTTCGGCGAAATTCCGGCAAGCTTATTTTCATTCAAATTTTGAGCTTTATTCATTATTTTCTTTCGGGCACGCGATAGGAGAGTAAGTATCTTACTTAGGACTTACTACTTCGAGTTTGTTCTTTCGATTTTGTGTTTATGCTCGTTTCTAGGGTTTTTCTTTATTTTTATTGCTTGCTTTTGTGTGTTAGGAATCAATACGTGCTTATCTAGTATAAAGGTCTCGACTTTGTTCAAGCGTGATGATTTAGTGTAGAAAGCTCGTGTTCGGTTACCTAGGATCACTATGCTCGCATGTTTTCTCTTGTTTTCTTTTATTTTCTTGAGTTATGGATACTCAGTGCAACCAATGCTCTGACCTTTCTTTTGATTCTTGCATTTTCCATCATTTTCTCTTAGATTAGTAGTGTAATTTCGTGCAATCATCCCCAATCAAGCCAGTAGCATGTTTAGGACCTTGTTTTTGGTTATGTGACTTTGACGACTAGGTAGTGAACGAAGCTCCGAACAGCCTTCCTTTGAGAACGACCGGAGTCAGGTAGCTCGGTTACCACATGCCCAAAAATACTACAAACAGGTATCTCTTACTGAAAGGTTATAATCCTTCATATGAATATCATAACATTTCTCCAAGAGTTGACCCAAACTCAAAATATTGTTTTTCATATTGGGCACATAGTAAACATTTGAGATAAAATCATGTTCTCCATTTTTCAAAAGAATTAATATTTTCCCTACTCCTTGGACTGGAATTTTAGAATCATCACCAAATGAGACATTCCCACTTACCGACTCGTCGAGCTCCACAAACATACTCATTTTTCCACACATGTGGTTGCTCGCTCCGGTGTCGAGGTACCAAGTGTCATCTTGTTTTCCTTCCTCTCCTTTGTAAGAAAAAAACAAACTTGCTTTGGCTTCATCTTTGCTCTCCACGAAATTCGCCTTCTTTTCAATATTAAGCCTTTGGCTTCTGCACTCGGAAGCAAAATGTTCAAATTTATGACAATTATAGCATTTTGAGGAAGACTTATCGTACCTCGATTTTTGGTTACTCCTTCCTCGACCGTACTCTTTCTTTTCATAATTGGTATAGCCACCTCGTCCACGTCCTCGGCCTCGACCTTGTCCTTGGCCACGACCTCTCCAATAGTCACCACGGTTGTTGCTCGTTCCTTCATCCTTTTCTTTCGAGCTCACTTGCATTTTAAAAAGTTGTTCTACAATATCTTGCTTCTTCTTATGTTTTTCTTCGTAAGCTTGTAATGAGCCCATTAACATATCTATCGACATCTCCTCCAAGTTTTTTGTTTCTTCAATTGTTAAAATAATATGCTTAAATTTTGGAGTTAATGAGCGCAATATTTTTTCCATTATTCTAACATTCTCCAATTTTTCACCATTTCTTTTCATTTGATTTGATACCGCCAATACTCTAGTAAAATAATCCGATATAGATTCAGATTCCTTCATATTAAGGGATTCAAATTCACCTCGTAAAGTTTAGAGATGTACCTTCTTTACTTGCTCGACTCCTTTGCATGAGACTTGTAACTTATTCCAAGCTTCTTTTGCGGTGGATGCACTCGAGATCTTCTCGAAATCGTCATCTCCCAATGCTTGGTAGATAAGGAAGAGAGCCTTCTTATCCCTCTTACTTGAATCCTTTAGCCTATCCTTTTGTTGTTGGGATAGTGTTGCTTCATCCGGCGGTTCCTCGTACCCGTTCTCTACAATCTCCCACACATCGTGAGCTCCAAGTAGAGCTTTCATTTTAATACTCCAATTATCGAAGTTGTTCATGTTGAGAATCGGGACTTGAAAGGATTGTAGGTTGTTCGCCATTATGGAATAAACTTGTCTCTGATACAACTTTGTTGGAATATGTATATATTGTGTATGTGAGTATTGAGTAAAGTGAGTAGTATGAAGATGGCTAGACTAATAATTTATTGGAAGAAGGTAGAAACTTTTTTTTTTTCATCAATTCACTTCACATCATATATGAGATATTTATAGGCAATCTTGGATGAATGTGGAAGTTTCTAGCCTATGCCACATAATTCAGTTTTCCTAGATTATTCTACACAAATCTATTCTACATACTTCTACACATGTAATAATTATCTTTTCCTAGATTATTCTACACATATGTAATCTACCATCTTCTAGACAATTCTTTGAAATACAATATTATAATTTATAAATCAAGTTTAATTTTCAACAACTGTTAGGAGAAGAATAAAATAATTATAATTATCATTATTTTGACATACATTATATTCTGTTCGGCTACGTGCAACACTACTAGAAAAACATACTTTCAAGAACGGGCAAATTGGGTTTTTCAGAACGGGTCGGCACCCGTTCTATTTTCACATGATCTAGTAAATATGAACTTTCTAGAACGGGCTAGACCCGTTCTCTAAAATGTTTTTAGAGGACAGTCTAATTATATTCTTTCTTATTCATTAGTTGGTCCTATTAGAAGGTTTAATTATACCGATCAACTCGACTTTCCTTAAACTAGATTGCCTCCTCGTCGTGATCATATACATTGTCCTTCAAGTCGATATTTCGACCTGATGCCTCTTCATTCCCGGGCACCTTCGATCTCCGATCGATTTCACAGTTCACTTGGTCTGATTAAACCATTTGTCGGGTTGAGTTTGATCCGATATGGTATCCCATATAACTATATATACTTTTAAATATTTTTATTGAAAATGTATAATAGATCGATCAATATAAAGTCATCTCACACCAAAAATTGTGTGTAATATTATGTTGTTTTGCTATTTCTACAATCCCCAATAATTTGTCATGTCTCATTTCCACAAGAACAACGACTTACAACTTTTAATGCCAATAATGACTCAAATATCGTACCTACATAGTGGGATGTATTATTATCCTATCTTTGGCTTATGTAAAAAACAATGTCTTGTCCCAAATGCTCATCGTGTCCTTTTTTTTCTTTTCTCTCCCTCTCTTTTTTTTTCTTGGAATTGTCACATAATCCATTTTATTTGTAATGAACAAACTTTCCACCTGGATTAATACTTATATCAAATGTTCATGAAAAAAAAAAAAAAAAACAAGATGCTTAATTGTAT